CTCCCTGGCAGTGTTGAAGGCCAGGTTGGATGGGGCTTTGGGCAACCTGGGCTAGTGGAGGGTGTCCCTGCCCATGGCAGGGGTGGCACTGGGTGGTCTGGGAGGTCCCTTCCCACCCAAACCATGCTGGGATTCTGTAATTCTGTATCTGTCTTACAGATTTAAATGTTTGGCAGATTTTGATGGGAAATAACTTGTCTTCTGGATATGGTCTCATTCTACTCAATCATGCTTGCCTTTTTTTCCCTAGAAGTGAGCTTGTGCTGAAGTTTTTCATGCAGCTCAGCTGCAGGGAATGAGGCTTTTTTTGGCTGGTGGAGAAAGATGCTTACAATGTAGCCTTGCGTGCTGAGTTTATGGTTAAACTCTTGAGGGACTGCTAAATCGGCACTTGCCATATCACGTGCATGGTCAGATAATAAACTTGGTAGGGCCTGATCTGCAGGCCAAAAATTGGAGAGAAGAAATTAATCTAAAGGTTTGAGATGGTTGCAGTGGGTCTTGAAAGTATTATTTAGAAACATTATTGTTTGGAGTAGATAATAGATGTTTTTCTAAAAACTGCTTTTCAGTATTTAGTTTCTGCTTTGTTCTCTTTTTCTTTTTCAAGGACTATCGGACAAAGCCCTTTTGCTGCAGTGCATGTCCATTTTCCTCAAAGTTCTTTTCAGCGTACAAAAGCCACTTCCGGAATGTTCATAGTGAAGACTTTGAAAATAGGATTCTCCTTAATTGTCCTTACTGTACTTTCAATGCGGACAAAAAGACTTTGGAAACGCACATTAAAATATTTCATGCTCCAAATGCCAATACACCGAGTGGAGGCATCAGCACTTTTAAAGATAAAAACAAACATGATAGCCTTAAACCTAAGCAGGCTGACAGTGTAGAACAAGCTGTTTATTACTGTAAGAAGTGCACTTACCGAGATCCTCTGTATGAAATAGTTAGAAAGCACATTTACAGGGAACACTTTCAGCATGTTGCTGCTCCTTACGTAGCAAAGGGAGGTGAGAAGTCACTCAATGGTGCAGTTCCGTTAAGTTCCAGTACCCGAGAGGAGGGTAGTGTTCACTGCAAACGATGCCTTTTTATGCCGAAGTCATACGAAGCTTTAGTACAGCATGTTATCGAAGACCATGAACGTATAGGATATCAGGTGACAGCAATGATAGGTCACACTAACGTAGTGGTTCCGAGATCTAAACCTTTGATGCTAATAGCTCCAAAACCACAGGATAAAAAGCCTATGGGGCTCCCTCAGAGGATGGGTCCCCTTTCCCCTGGAAGTGTTCGATCTCTTTCGTCACAACAGATGATGAACAGACTCACTATACCAAAGCCTACATTGAATTCCACCGGAGTGAATATGATGTCAAATGTTCACCTACAACAAAACAATTATGGAGTCAAATCAGTACCGCCGAGTTACGTCGGCCAGCCAGGGGGAAGGCTAAACTTAAGTGGCAATGCACCGGTTTCTATCTCGCAGCAATCACAAACAATGAAACAGTTCTCAGCAAGTGGAAACGGAAGGCCTTACACTCTTGGAGGGGAACAGAGATCACAGGCCTCGGCAAGATATTCTCTGCAGTCTGCCAATTCGTCTTCTCTTTCATCAGCTCAGCTGAAACAGACGTCATTATCTCAGTCGCAGGCAGCTTCAAGAGTATTAGGTCAGTCTGGTTCGAAATCTCCTGTAGCTGCTACAGGTCCTTCCACTGTCAATACATCATCCACGCAGAAGTGGAAAATCTGTACAATCTGTAACGAGCTGTTTCCTGAAAATGTGTACAGTGTCCACTTTGAAAAGGAGCACAAGGCTGAAAAGGTGCCTGCAGTAGCTAACTATATAATGAAAATTCACAATTTCACTAGCAAATGTCTATACTGTAATCGCTATTTACCCACTGATACATTGCTTAATCATATGTTAATACATGGTCTGTCTTGTCCGTATTGCCGTTCAACCTTCAATGATGTTGAAAAGATGGCTGCTCACATGCGAATGGTTCATGTTGATGAAGAAATGGGACCTAAAACTGATTCCACTCTAACCTTTGATTTGACATTGCAGCAGGGTAGTCACACGAACATACATCTTCTTGTAACCACCTACAACCTGAGAGATGCTCCTGCTGAATCTGTAGCTTACCATGCTCAGAATACTCCCCCAGTTCCTCCAAAACCACAACCGAAAATCCAGGACAAGTCTGATGTACCTGTAAAAAGCTCGCCACAAGCAGCAGTTCCCTACAAAAAAGACGTGGGGAAAACTCTCTGTCCTCTGTGCTTCTCAATCCTAAAAGGACCCATCTCTGATGCACTTGCACATCATCTACGGGAGAGGCATCAAGTAATTCAGACAGTTCATCCAGTTGAGAAAAAGCTCACCTACAAGTGCATTCATTGTCTCGGTGTTTATACTAGTAACATGACTGCCTCAACTATAACGCTGCACCTTGTTCACTGCAGAGGCGTTGGGAAGACCCAGAATGGCCAGGACAAAGGTACTTCGTCATCTCGGCTAGGCCAGTCTCCGGCTGTAGCACCGGTCAAACGTACTTACGAACACATGGAATTCTCGCTAATGAAGAAAAGGAAAATGGATGATGACGACTCCCCCTCTGCCTTTGAGGAAAAGCCTGAAGAACCTGTAGTTCTAGCATTGGACCCTAAGGGTCATGAAGATGATTCCTACGAAGCCAGGAAAACATTTCTTACAAAGTATTTTAATAAGCAACCATATCCCACTAGGAGAGAGATTGAAAAGTTGGCTGCCAGTTTGTGGCTATGGAAATCTGATATTGCATCTCATTTTAGTAACAAAAGGAAGAAATGTGTTAGAGATTGTGAAAAATACAAACCTGGTGTGCTGCTTGGTTTCAATATGAAAGAGTTAAACAAGGTTAAACACGAAATGGATTTTGATGCTGAATGGCTGTTTGAAAACCATGATGAAAAGAATTCCAGAGTCAATGTTAGTAAGACTGTTGATAAAAAGATAAACTTAGAAAAAGACAATGACAGTTCCTCAGACAGCTATGAAAATATAGAAGAGGAATACAATGAAAGCGGTAGTCCATTTGGTCAGCCTATTTCTGACACTGGTGGGAAAACCTCTTCTGATAGCATAGTGGAGAACCCAGAGGACAGCATATCCAAGGAAGTCATTGAAGAAACTACATTGCAGTCTCCAGAAAAGTCTGATCAAAAACCAGAGGAAAGCTCTAAATACGAAGAGATTATTTCTGCTGAAGAACCAACAAAACTGGTAGGTGATGTTTCAGATAGCGATGGTGATCAGGATGATCAAGATGATGCTGTTGAATGGAAAGATGGAGCGTCGCAGTCTGAAAGTGGGCCTGGTTCTCAGCAGGCTTCTGATTTTGAAGATAATACATCGGAAGTAAAACCAGAAGCGTGGACAGATGAATCCTCCCAAAGTGAAGATGTTGGTAGCAGTAAACCGACTGTTGAAACAAAAGGGGGTGGATCTGAAAGTGATGAAGAACAGTCAAAGTGGAAGAATCGTTCCTATGGAAAAGTAGAAGAGTTTTGGTCTAAGGACCAGTCGCAATGGAAAAATACGTCAGAGATTGAGGAGAGCTTGTCAAATGAGCAGATGGAATGGCAGAATAGCACAATTGACAGCGAGGATGGAGATCAGTTTGACAATGTGACTGACAGCGTAGCAGAACCAATGCATAGCAGTTTAACTGGTGTGGAGCTGAGTAGCCAGCAAGCATAAGCTGCTCGATTCCCAAGCGTCAGCAATAGGATCCAGTCTACAGCTGTCTAACCCCCTTCATTTCGGTATGACTGCTACGCTTAAAGTTCTAACTGGTACTGCCTTTCGAGTGCTAGGTCATGGTGGGTGGTGGTTGTGGCCACTGTTACTCCAGCGGTTATTTAAGACGATCTTTAAGGTCCCTTCCAACCCAAAGCATTCTATGATGTGAGGATGCTGTTGGCTAATCTTGCCTGAGAATACCTGCTGGGATGAGCACAGTGACTTAATGTGAACGGATAAGCTGGTGGCTCCAGAATGCACATGGAGAAAAGCAGAGGTTTATTTTATCTGCGTTTTCAACACCCATTTCACTCTTGTACATGTTCAGTTGTATGTCTTTTTAAACATGACCCTTTTTCACATGGTAGTGTAGGGCCAACCATCCAAGCTACCAGTTCAACGTGTATAGTAGACTATGGGGAAATTGATTTTTTCATGTATCATTCTGAATAGTTGAAATGTATATTTGTACAGTCTTTTAGACCTATTCAAGTGAAGCTTATGAAATTGTTCTTGTGTACTCATCATAGATTTGTTTCTCTTTTTTAGTGTTGCCCTGCTGTGTAATAAATGCTGTATCTAGTTTACCTAGCAAAAGCTTGAAACTGCTATAGTATGAATTTTGACAAACTTAGTTTTTGCACATAACCTTGTACAATCTCAAAACAGAGGCCAGCAACATAAAAAAATATATCTGGACTCTATTGTATTATAGAATTTTCTTGTTCTGAATATCCTTGACATTACAACTGATGACAAACGTATTTCAGAGCCATTTTCTGAAATCTTTTAAGCTAAAAAAGAAAAATCACATGCAAGAAACAAGTTTGCAGCTACTAATTTTGACACCTTTTAGATCTGTATAAAAGTGTATTGTGTTGAAGCAGCACACTGAAACAAAAGTGCTGTGTTTTGGATATTTAGTTTTATCTTTAGTTAACACCAAACAAGGTGTTGTATTCATTTATACCATCTAATATATGACACACTGTTGTAGTATGTATAATTTTGTGATCTTTATTTCCCTTTGTATTCTTCATTTAAGCATCTAAATAAATTGCTGTATTGTGCTTAATGTAAATATTTGCTTTATTACATGCAAGTGCTACATTCCTGTTTGGTAAATCCCACCTTGCTACATTCATTCCTTTTTTCTTTTCTCTCCCCCCCCCCAAGTGCTCCACAGCTGTGCTGGGGCAGGCATGTTTAGTACTTTCTTACCAGACTGATCTTCTTCAAGGATATTGAAAATCCTTCAAAAGGTAACTTTGGCTGAATTTCTCTTTACTGTTTAGTGTTCCAGAACACTAATTTATAAATAGGATTGTAGCGATTTGCTTGTTCTGCATCCTGGAGAAACAAAGTCTATGCATCACTTGCATTTTTCATCCCTTTGTACTTATATGAATGAAGATCACTTTCACATATTAAAAAGTTATCCAGAACTATGTCTCTCTCTGAAGCACTACGTATTGAGGGTAAATAACAGGGAAGGTGTTTGAATACTTATATTTAAACATGAAGGAGCATGCCTTGTGAGCTACAGACTTGGTTTGGCTTTGGAGAAGAAGCAATTTGAATACTGAAACTACTGTTAAAATTTGTGATAGGTTTGGTCAAACCAGCCCTGCATTTTGGCAGGTGTGCAGTACAACAGCTGCATAACCAAAAGTTCATTGAGACAATAATGTACTGGAGGGAATCTAATTGTGATGAGAACAAAACTATTCTTAATTAGAGCGATAAGTTTGATTTAGGCATATGTCTCATAAATATCAGAGTACCTACTTTTTGATAGAAGAACTAAATTGACCTGTGAAGTTTTTGTTAATATTGTAAAGAAGGGAACAGTTCTGTGTTCTTGAACATTTTAAACAGCAAAACCATTTCACAGAGATTGCAAGAAAACCTTTCGGTATCTCTGTAGCAGTCTTGGGTAGGTACAAACCATACTTTCCACTAGTATAAGGAAGAAACCACTATATATGCCAAAGATGAGAAAATGTGTACTCTCTCATGTTCTGCAGCTAACCTGTGCTGCTGGCACTCTGAGGCTTGTTGAACTAAGGATGTGTGCAAAGCCATGACTGAAAACTGTTACCTTCCAGTGAAGATGGTTTAGATTTGTCTTGTACTTTTCCCTTTCTGCTTTTTTTAACTCTGAGGAGTAGAAGTTGGACTGGCTCCCAATTACACACTCAAGTAGTAGAAGATATGCTTGAAGAATAAGACAGGGAAAACACTTTTGGCATTTGCATCAGTGAAAGAACTCCTTTGTTTCTCTGCCTTAAAAGAAAACTTGAGCCTCAACTCATTTTAGCAAGTTTTCTGAACTATTTCATTGAAAAATAACTTTTCAGTAAGTCAGGTGAGAATTTGTTAACTACCATTTATAAAAGTCAATGAGCTGCTGAGTTTTTTTCCCAATGACACCAGGCACTCATGCCTTTCTCCCTCTGTAGGCTGCTGTGTTTCACAGGAGGCTACTATCTGAAAACTTCAGACATTTCAGAATTTGTTTTGTGTCATTTCAGCTAGGGTTTAAGGGATTTTACAGATACATTTTTAAAAAACTTTAAAAAATTAATCCAACAGTTTAATGCCAGTACAACCTTTATCTGTTAAGCAATGAAATAAAAAAAAAATCAGATCTCATCATATGAATTTGTATCGTGTTTGTCTCAATATCTGGCAAGGTTAATTTAATATTAGTGAGCTCTATAGTTAAGTCAAATTTCCAAATTCTGAGCTCCTGCTTGTAGTCAGTGACTAGTAAGCCTATGACATAGGCACTCTCTGGAAGTGCTTCATTTGCCAGAAAAGAATACCTTTTTATATAGTGATTAAATTAAAGGTCTTGCACAAAAAAAAGTCTGTCTTACCAGGAACATCAATAAGAATCGAGGGTGGTTGGTTTAAGTTTTGGCATAAAACTTTCTAGTATTTATTTCAAACATGTTACTCTTCAAATCTGGATTTTAGCCTAGGCAAGAATTCCTTTCTAGATTTGCGGCTAACGCATTTTTGAGGCAGTCAAAAAGCCAAAGAGGTAAATGGCCCAATAAAACAAGGGGCCTTAAACCCAGTTTGTGTAATCTTAACGTATCACACCATTGTAATTGTATGAGGTGGAAGTTACCCAGCTGTCACAGATGTTCCTGAAGTTCCAGAGCAGACCTCCAGCAACACACCGGCTGTGCCGCAGAGGTGCCGCTCAAGCTGACATTTAAATTCTGCTCTCTGCAGTGGGAGACTGACAACAGCAGTCCATCCAGCCTTTGGCCAGCAGACCAGAGCAGAAAGACCTTTGAGACTCTTCAAAGAGTTTGTTTTAGCCAGTGTACCTGAATTGAGGCAAAGTGTATCTTCCATCCTAAAGACGCTCTCCGATACCTAACGGGTCCACCAGCTGAGAACAAAGTGGGAGGTTGGGGGCATACGCACCGTTTCTAGCCACAAGACAGCTTTGTACAAGAACTCTTCCAGAGCGCGTGTGAGCTGTAGTTTGACTTCTGATGATTACCTGAGACTGCAGGGACAGTCAGGTCGTTAAGGGTAGTTGTGTTTTACCTGACGCTTTATTTCTAAGGGTGTTTGCACGGGCTTGCAGTAACTCCTGTTTTGAAGCACTGTTCATCGCACTGACGTGCAGCTGAGAGCATTTCAACAAGTAGCGTTCCTCCTCCTCCTCTTAGTACAGTCCTCTCCTTCCACCCCCCTCACTCCCTGCAGCGCTTACTGCCCATAAGCTTTCCTCCAAACTAAATGGCTATTTTCCAGCAGGGACGGACAGACAGTTTTGCTGAACTCCTAATTTTCATATTTTCTCAGCATGTTCCTTCAGGATCTACGCTAGGATTTCTACTCATTCAAAACCTTTTATGGGATAGTGCAGAAATACCTGCACTGACATTTTATTTCACAAGCTCTTAATATTACTGAAAGTTCAAACGACATTTAATGCTGCCATCCTCTGTTCAGCAGTAACATTTTTGTAGCAAGAACTTGCCAGTTAGTATTTGACCCTTTGACATGTGTTGTCACAACAGAAACCTGGATATTCACCTGGTATTTTTATAGGAAAACTACCATTCTTACCCCCAAGAAATTGGTACGTTTGAAATATCCACTAATACAGTAATCAGTTTACCATTTTGTAGTACATATATTTCATACACTGCTATGGTATTAAAACAAGTTTATTTCCATTTTTATAAGAGCCAAAAGAATTCAGGAATGTGTTGTGTGTACTGTCTCTTCATTTCTCTTAATAAAGAAGCTGATATTTGGATAAACAGGGTGGTATAACCAGGAGTGTTTTGTTCCTTTCATAACTAATTTACCTCTCTGTAATACCAGCTCGTTCATAATAATCTGTTACAGTAACCTGCATTGCAGGGGCGGAAACGTTGACTAGGTCTGTCTTCTATTGCTTTATATTTTAATTCAACTTTATCTTCCATCATCAGTCCCACTAATAAATATGAAAAGGTTGAGTTCATTTATTTCTGCATCAGAAAAGCATTGGTCTCCATGGTTACTCAAAGCCATGTAGCTTTATTTTCACCATAAGCTTGGGGTTTTTTTTCCTCTTTCTTTACAGAATTTGTGTTGGGTCTTCCATCCTGAGTTTTTCCAAAGGTATTTTTAAAACTAGAGCATTTATTTCTATTTCTCCTTATTGTACTGTATGCAAAGACAATCATCTGAAAAGTCATAAAACCTTCTCCTCCTAATGTTCGTTATTCAAAGAATTGAGTAGTTTTTCTTTCCC